ACACTAGATGGTGATTTTAACAGCCTGGTCCATTAAAAGTAGATTTGAGAGGTTTAGCTATTTTTTTCTCCGATTCCAATTCATAATTTGAGAAAAAAAATATTTTAAGTTTTTTTTTAAATATATCACTACTAAGATAAATGGAAGAATGGATAACAATAATAAAAACATCCAAGTAAAGAACAATTACGTCATTGAGGTTATTATTACATGTGCATTAAGCAATTAACTGAAATACTCTGTAATATTTGTATCATTTCATTAAGAGTCTAACACAAAAATGCTAAATCTTTTACTATTACTTAGAGAGTCAAGATTTCCACTTACTGTTCAAGTATGCTTTTTGTCAAATATCCAGTAAGGGTATTGGGAATGGGTGGGGGAATAAATTAGATAAACAGCATGGAAGCCTTGTCACATAATATGTAAACCCCTTTATTTAAGCGAAACGAAAATGTAACGTTTAAACTTTTTTTAATTTAGCGACTTTTATTTTAGCGTTTTCACCTTCAAATGTGACCTAAATGAAGAGAACAAAAGGAATATTTTTATTTGGTCGAGAACAAATTTTATGTTCAAGCTCGGTAATTTCTCTTCGATCTTTAGTTTCTTAAGTGCTTTAAAGTATATAAATTTGAATCCATGGATGTTACTTAGAGCTTCCACTTGAAGTTTTTAACGTATTCTTCATGATAGAATCGCCACGGATCATACTTAGAGCTTCCACTTGAAGTTTTTCACGTATTCTTCATGATAAAATCGCCACGGATCATACATAGAGCTTCCACTTGAAGTTTTTAACGTATTTTTCATGATAGAAGCGCCTCTTTTTGTACCGTTATCTCATTTTTACAGCCCTATAAAAAGATGTATTCTATGCTTTAGTATGCATTCTTTAGTGTTGAAGGTGTGTTTACCTGGTTAAAAGCACTAGTTACAACACAAGAACCTGAATTAAATATGGAATGGACCATACTGCACATTCAGACCCAGTTAGAAATAAATATTGCGTACAAAATGTAGTTTACAATATCAAATATTCAAAATTTTAAAATCTGTTATCGGCTGGGGATAAAAATATCCTCTCCTGGGATGAAAGTTGAAAGTTCAGTCCCGGGAATAAAACAAAGCAGAACCAGGTAAATCTCTTCTCCTCCTCCCCTTCAAATCGCACCCTGTTACTCTAACACAGAGAGATGATTAATATTATACAGAAAGAAAAAACTTTAGCTAATCATTACTCTGAAAAAGGGAATTATTATAATGATTACTTGGAAAGACAGGACACATACTCAGGAGAATAAAATTGCTATTAAGTAATACTCTAGAAATGAGACTCCCATTAAGTAGCATACTTAGTAAGATGAATTTTCTATATTAATAATGCTCAGAGATATGGGATTCCCATTAAGTATTATAACGATCCAGTTGTACTAGAGAGATTTATAAAAAAACAATAAATATGAAGGTTCCGAGTTTTGATAAGAGTTTGGCAGACGAACATCGAATAAAATATTTCTTTCTCTTCTGAATCTGCTCTGATTTAATGTTAAAGTTCAAGGCTACACTCTGATTTAATGTTAAAGTTCAAGGTTGCAATGATTTTTTTACCGTGTAGGTATGACAAATTGAATTAATGTCAGATTTTTTAGAATTTGTAGATCAATAAACAAGGTCAATACCAACTCCCATATTTACATGTATAAAGGCACCTTTCATATTAAAATATAGAAGTTGATTCTTTAGAGGTTCGAAAGACTTCCCCGTGAATATACTTTAAAAAACAAAGCTCGAGTGAAGCCTACCTTTTGCCTGCTAATACGATGTTACGAGCACTTGGTCCATTCATACGGAAGTATGTCCCAAAGATACCCGTCAAAAACAGTTAAATTTAAATTTAATGTAGCGTTAACATAAGGGCGATGTAGCATAACATTTATTTTATTTTATTTAGATATAGTCTATGCATTTAATAAACGTTAGAAACATTTATTTCAAGTATATTAGCATAATTGAGTTCCACAATAAAATTGTTCCGATTAATTTTCCACATTTGTTAGCTCACATGGAGAATTTCAAACCAAGATTTAGTACGTGTATTAAAGGTATACCCCTACCACACTTTTCTTTTCTGCTAGATAAATAAAGGGCGAACTATTAACGTTGTACTACAAAGTATCATACGTGCTGTATGATAAGTATCATAAGTATCCTGTGCTGAGGAATTCATCCTTTGAAGAATTTAACAAATGAAAGAAAATTCACCATTTAAAACCTGAACTTCAGCTAGTCAAATCCTTATAAAAACTAAGGTATGCTTTTCGAAAATAGTTTATGTCGAGGAAAGTGAATTATCCAAGCTAAAATTCAAAATCCTTTGCTCTGAGGAAAGCTTACCGAGTTGTTGAAGTTAAATTTTCACAATTTATAGTTAGAATTCGGATCTTTCTGAGTAACCAAAGCTTGTTTTCGAATCGTATTCACAGCTATGATAGAGAAATGGCTATTTGTTTCTCTTTGTGTGTATATTACCATTATACTTGAAGAACTTACTAAAAAAAAAACAGTAAATAAGTCTTTAATTCAATTAAACACGATGAGTAATTATAATTCGACTACTCCCTCCCAAAACTTGAATCAACTTATATCTTGATACAATCGGTACTTTGATATATCAAAACTATTTATCATCATGTTTTTTTTTCTTTCTCAATCTTTGATTATCTTTAACAATTAATTTGGCTACCTATCAGTCTTTGTATTTGTAAAGTTTTTGTTTGTTTGTTTATCATTAGGCATAAAGCTACACAATGTACTACCTGCAGAAGTGTAGGAGACAAATTAAAAGTGGGGGTCAAGGTTTATCCGACCAAGCGAAGCGAGGGACTGTGCACCACAGATGTACCCATTTCGGGCGGGATTAAGGGTTCGCCTTATGGCCCAGAAAGTTCTTTGGTTCTGGATTAAATTGTATGCATTTTCTGCGTTTCCTGAGAGCAATTTTCCTAATTTTGATGCATTTTCACTGATCTGTGA